CACACACACACAGTATGAGCCGGGCGGTAGTATGTGCCGGGTAGGTAGAAGAGGAGGACCACGTTGTCTGGTGGGGCGGCAGGACTCCATCTTTTACCTACCCGGCACATACTACCGCCCGGCTCAGTGCTTTGGTGGACACTGGTGCTACGATATCAGTTATGAGTCTGAGTCTTTCTTTCAAACGTCGCATTGGCACAACGTTATGTTTTCTTGGGGTGAATCAACAAGGTTTCGTGGTGTTGGTGGGGAAGTACTTCATCCTGTCAGAGTTTGTGCCGTCAATGCCTCACTGGCAGGAAAGGTGTTCCCAACAGAGTTTCTTGTGGTGCAACGTTGTACCCACGATGCGATTCTCGGTCTTGACTTTCTCCAAGGATGTGGCGCTTTCGTCGACTGTTGAAGCGGTGAACTTTCCGTCAGCGGTGACATTGTTCCTGCCCTCGTCGATGAGGCACCGCAGGCTGCGAATGACGCTCTGATTGTTTCCGATGAGCTGGCAGTGCCGCCATGGTCAATGAGGTCAGTCGCGGTGTTCGCCTCAGATTCTGCCACATCTTTTGACGCCATCGTTGAACCTGCCATCGTTGAATGTGCTAAGAAAGGCATACTCGTCCCCCATTGTCTGGTATCTGTTGATGAAGGAGCAACCGTTCTGTGGGCACTGAACTGTTCGACAATGCCAGTTGTGCTCCCTCGAGGTATAAAGCTTGATTTGATTGATTTGTGGGGTTTAACATCCCAAAACCACTATATAATTATGAGAGACGCCGTAGTGGAGGGCTCCGGGAAATTTCGACCACCTGGGGTTCTTTAACGTGCACCCAAATCTGAGTACACGGGCCTACAACATTTCCGCCTCCATCGGAAATGCAGCCGCCACAGACGGGATTCGATCCCGCGACCTGCGGGCCAGCAGCCGAGTACCTTAGCCACTAGACCACCGTGGTGGGGCGAGGTATGAAGCTTGGCATCTTCGATGATTCCACTGAAGGTTCTGTAGCGGTCGTTAACAACGATGAAAGCGAGAAAGGCACAGTCTCTGGAAAGCGCAGTTGCTCTTACGAGTCGCAGATCCTAGGCATGATTAGCGCCACTTTGCGGTCACACGAGCAGCAGACGTTACGCCATCTGTTGAGGTGACATGCTTCTGTCTTTGACTTTTGCCAAGAGGAGAAGCCACTACCTTTACCATGTTCTCGCGCTCACCATAGGATTGACACCAGCACTGCCCATCCGATCCGACAAAAGCCTTACCGAGTGTCGTCATCAGAACGAAAAGTTATTGCCGAACAGGTTCAGGAAATGCTGAAGAAGGGTGTCATTGAAGAGTGCTGTAACCCGTGGGCAGCACCGGTCATCTTAGTTAAGAAGAAAGATGGTGCCTGGTGGTTCTGCGTTGATTACAGAAAACTCAACGCCGTGACAAAAAAAGATGTATATCCGCTGCCTAGGATTGACGATGTTATTGACTGCTTACACTCGGCTTCGTACTTTTTTTCAATAGACCTACAATCAGGATATTGGCAGATGCCTATGCACCCTTCAGATAGGAGAAGACCGCATTCGTGACGCCTGATGGACTGTACCAATTCAATGTGATGGCGTTTGGGCTTTGCAACGCCCCCGCCACTTTTGAAAGGTTTATGGACTGTGTCCTTCGTGGTCTTAAATGGTAGGTGTGCTTATGCTACCTGGATGACGTCGTCATTTTTGGGCGTACCTTCGAAGAGCACAACGTCCGTTTAAGCCTTGTTTTAGACTGTGTTGGAAAGGCTGGCTTGATTTTGAAGTGCCGGTTTTGTGAACGACAAGCTTTAATCCTCGGTCACCTAGTTGACAAAGATGGAGTCAGGTCAGATCTCGCAAAATCGAAGCAGTCGGCACATTCAAACCACCCCAGACACTGAAGGAACTTCGCAACTTCTTGGGCCTATGTTAATTCCTACTTTCGCCACTTTGTGCCCCGATTCGCGGACGTAGTACACCCACCGACGAGCTTGTTGCGAAAAGACAGCCCATTCGAATGGACACCTGATTGTGATGCCGCATTTTCTGAACTGAAACTTCTACTGACATCTGAGCATATTCTTCGTCATTTCGATCCTTCTGCTCCTACAGAAGTGCACAGTGACGCAAGTGGAATTGGCATCGGAGGTGTGCTCGTTCAGTGCCATGATAATGCAGAGCATGTTGTTGCTTATACGAGTTGATCTCTAAGCAAGGCTGAAATGAATTATACGGTCACAGAACAAGAATGTTTAGCGGCTGTATTCGCCATTCAGAAGTTTCGATGTTATACCTCTACGATCGTCCATTCACGATTGTGACTGACCATCATTCATTATGTTGGCTTAATTGTTACCCTCCGAGACCCTTCTGGCCACCTTGCTCGATGGGCTTTACGCCTTCGAGAATTTGACTTCAGCATTTCGTACAGAAGTGGACGACATCATTCGGACGCTGATTGCCTTTCTCGCCTACCTATGACCACGACAGAGGAAAGTACAGATACCCTCGACATCTGTTTTGCTGCGGTCTCTCACACGTTTCCTGACGCCAATATCTGCAAACGAGAACAACTGAATGATTTATCTTTCGACCCTTTGTTCGTTGACGCTCGGAATCCCAAAGGCAGTGGTCGCTTTCGTATTCGTGATGGACTGTTGTGCAAAACGAATTACTCAGCAACCGGCGCACGTTATTTACTGGTTGTACCTCAAAGTCTTCAATGCGACGTTCTCCATACTATGCACGATGATCCAGCGTCAGGACACCTTGGGTTCATTCGCACCCTGCATCGAGTGCAGCAGCGTTTTTTACTGGCCTCGAATGCGAGATTTTACGAAACAATACGTCTCGAGCTGCGAGAACTGCCAGCGTCACAAACGACCTACCAGTGCACCACACGGCATTCTTCACCCCGTAGAACCGACTACTACGCCTTTCGAGCAAGTGGGCATCGACCTATTGGGCCCGTTTCCGCCATCTTTGAACAACAACCGCTGGATAATAGTGTGCGTCGACCACCTTACCAGATACGCCGAAACCACTGCGATATAATCCTCCACTGCTGATGGCGTCGCTGCCTTTTTGTTACGCTCCGTTGTTCTTCGCCATGGTCCACATCAAGTAATCATGAGTGACCGTGGTCGCCAATTAATTCATCGCGGGCGCTGTGGAAGAATTGCTTCGCCTCTGCACTTCACAGTTCAGACATTCGACACCATACCATCCCCAGACGAATGGTCTTGTAGAACGTACCAATCGAACTCTTACTAACATGCTCGCTATGTACGTCGCATCCAATCACAAAAACTGGGATGAGATCTTGCCATTTATTACTTACGCATACAGTACAGCGAAGCACGAGACCATGCATGGACTTCACGCCCTTCTACCTGCTCTATGCTCGATCACCACGCAGCTCCTTTGATACAATCCTCCCATTTAAGCTCCATACCGATGAGTCCATGGCCGAAACATTGTGCCGGGCTGAAGAAGCCCGCCAAATTGCTCGCTCGTGCACACTGGCATCACAAGATTGCTCTAAGCAACGGTACGATCAACGCCATGATGCCATTTCATTCCGCAAGGGTGAATTCGTGTGGTTGTGGACCCCCTATCGAAAACCTGGTTTATGTCAGAAGTTTTTACCGCAGTACACAGGCCCCTACGTCATTGTAGATCGCTTGACTGACTTGACGTGCGCCGTGGCGCGCTTGACGACACCTTCTCGTCGGTCAAATCGAACACAGTTGGTGCACGTGGCTCGCCTCAAGAAGTTTTATCCCTCCAGTGACTTAAACTCGCCCAGCGGGCTTCGTCTGTGAACCGGGGGGAATTGCTACGATATGAGCCGGGCGGTAGTATGTGCCGGGTAGGTAGCAGAGGAGGGCGACGTTGTCTGGTGCGGCCGGAGGACTCCATCTTTACCGCGATTGCCGAACTTCATCCTCCTCACCCTATATATATATATATATATATATATATTATATATATAATATATATATATATATATATATATATATATATATATATATATATATATATATATATATATATATATATATATATATATATATATATATATAGTACACGCATTTAAGTCGCACGTCACCACCCCCTTAAACAATATCCATGCAATGCCCCATTGAACAGCCACTATTTTTACGCTGTGCATTTTTTGTCCAACTACGTTAGACATGAACTAGTTTTGAGACCTCATACTGTCGAAAAGGTGAAACTTACAGTGCGCATTAGTGCAGAGGCACGCTATATTCATCTACGCCAACTGTAAACGTTCGGCGCAGAGCTACCCAGAATTTTTTTTTTTTTTTTTGAGGGGAAGGGGTGCAGCAGAACGACTAACTTTGGCACGTGGTGGTCGCTGTGAATACGTGTAAATATATTAGTATACTCTGAAAAGTTAATTTACGAAAACATTTTGTGGTGTAGGGGGTTCAGATTCCCTTCCTCGTCCCTCTCTACTTACGGCCTCCTGGTTCTGCGTACGTTTCACATGGTACTTTTTTTTTCATCTCACAGCTTTTTGAGCGCAGCTATTTTCCAATAAATCGACTTAGTTGTTGCTGTTATTGTAGACGCCTGCTCGCGAAGAAAGAGTTGAGAGTAAAAACCAGAATAAGACACCCCTTTCTTACAAATTTTTGATATCTCACAAGGACTTTTATGGACTTCAAATTCAGTAGATTGGCGTGTCATACTTCAACGGTTATAACATGATGTGCTATACATGAATGATGGGTAGGTACGAAGAAATCTGCATCAAAAAAAGCGCACCAGAGAAGCTGGAGCGCATAGCAGTTTCAGCACGCGGCGCACGGCCCTTTCAGTCCTTTCAGTACTGTTCGACTACAGCGCCGCCGCTACAGGCAACGCGGAAGGCTTCAGGCGGCGAGGCGCGGTCACGCCACTCAACACTTCTAGTACACTCTACCACAGATTTGTTCATTAGAGTACTGTGAATTTTTGTGTCAAAACTGCATATTGAATCTCCGGGGGAGTTTACCCCACTGATCTCTACTAGAAAGTCAGTGGTTTACCAAGGAGGTTAACCCTCCTCGTGGTTCTATCCATTCATACTAAGAGTGCAACAGTCAAATCAAAACGATCCGATCCAATCCGCAATAACAGAGAAGTAACGAGCAAACACGTGCGGCGCATCAGCATGGGTGCGAAAAAACGAAAAGTAAGTACATGCGCCCTCGTTTGGTTTTTGAAGCGTGCTGTCTTTGTAGCCCACTTCTTCGATTATTTACTCTTTACTACTTGTACATGCTTGGGGGCTGGATTAGGTTTTTAATGGGTGGTTGTTTTCACCTATGGCAAATGTATGCCTTGAGGCTGCCTGTGAATGCATCAGCTGCTTGCAAAAGGATGATTGAGCTCTGGCTCTTGGCTAAACAGTTTAAAGTAATAGCTATTTTGTCGTCAATATTTTGTTACAGGGACGCGCCGTGAAAGCTGCTAAAAAAGGCAGTGCTGTGGTAGAACCAGAAGAGGTCTCAAAGGCCCCTCACACTTTTGTGATATCGCGTGGCACTCTGGGCAAGAATGCGTCAGAGCTGATGCTGAATTTCAGAAAAGTTATGGAGCCTTATACTGCATCTAGGCTTCAGGTAAGTGTTATAATTCATATCATGCTAGAAGTAACCTACTTTCAATTATTCCAGCATGCGACAATGCTCATTGTTGTCTTCGTTGCAGTGTTTGGGTGCACTGCGTAGTTCGTAACTGCTCAAAGCATCTGCAAGCGTTTGTTGTCCCGGCAGTTGTAGGGACAATGTTTAGGGTTTGCTCCTAGGGCTACCGTTCACACATGTGCAAACTTGAAATTACGCCAGCGCGCCTTGTTTTGTGCGTCAGCAATCAACTATAGCCTCCGTGCACTTAAGGTCCCTCCATAATTTTTAAGGTAGTGACATCTGCCGCGGGCGCCACCTAGAAAGTTCCTGTAGCAGACGACGCCCAGCACGGCATTGAGCTGGTGGAAAAATATCTGCACATGCCAGGAAAGAAAAGCTACTGATGCCTGACTGTGATGAAGGCCGAAGGGCCCAAAATGCTAAAGCTGTGCCGTTATTTCAAATAAACATTGAAAAAGAGAGCAGAAAAAAATGTTTAATCGCGTAGATTCGGCATGTTTACATCTAGTTTATTCGTGCACATATTACATTGCATTTTGCAACCTAAATTACCTGCATATAATTAAAAAAATGAAGGCGTGTTGATTCGCTTTCATTTCACAAAATAGTCGAAGCCATTGACGGTAAACAACCACGAGCCGGGACCGAAGACAACCAGAGACGAGTTTACCCGCGGCTGCCCATGGCCTTGGTCGCTGTATTGGCCCTACCTTAGCGACTGCGTGCGCTTAATCCGATTGCTCTCCTCCTTTCTTGCTCGTAAGTGTGCTGTGTACATATAGCGCTTACTTCGGTCGAAGAATGCAGCTGAGAGCCATCAGGAGCGAAAAAATTTCGACATGGCGTTGCTGAAGCGCGATCCTCGCTGAAAGCAAACATCCTGCGCACGTGTGTGGAAACTAAAATTTTGTGGAAATGCGTGCGTCAACAGTCTTATTTTCACTGTGTGCAGCGATTGCCCAACCACTTGGCTGTGTTTTGCTATTCTCTGGTACGAGTCAATGCAAGTGACACGACATTCCAAAGCGGCGTGTCATCGCCGATCGTCGAATTGGTTCGTGCTTCAAATGCGACGACCTAACCGCGCGGAACACCATGGTGTAGTTAAATTTCTTTGACAAGGCTTCTTGTGTGTGCGTGTGTGAATGCGTTTTATTCCTGATATGAGCAACGTCGCTACGTAACCTTGAATCACCGCGTGTGTTTTCAATGGTGTGTTTATGCTTTTTCGATCTGCCCTTGTGCTTCCCGGAAGCGCACAAGCTTCTCAAGAATTAAAAATCCTTAAATGAAACGCCCGCGAATTGGCCTAGTTATACCCGTGCCACACGGGCTTAGAAAATGACATTTGTTGGCGAAGGCCTTCAGTTCCCGAATGACATTTGTTTTGCCGGCGCTGCTACACGTCCAAAGCGAATGACATTTGACTTGATGATGTCGATCGCAGCACCTTCCAAGTGAGCATTGGGGGAATAGCAATAAAAAAATAAACAAGCGTTTACAAGCTTCATACACATCATATAATCATTAAAAATAAAAATAAGCATATTACGCTGCCCTAAGTTGTAGTTTCTTGCTTTGTTTTACGACGTTGCAGCCGACCATAGCAACCTAAGCCAACACTAGTCAGATCCACAGCGTAATTAGAAAATGGCGCCTGTCGCATCGCACCTGTCGCATCTCTCAGAAGATGTCCCCAGAGTTCATTTTTTCACGGCAGCACTTGTGTGTTTCCGTGCAAAGCATCATGCTCAAGAGCGAATAATTTTGGAGCAGAGACGAGTTATTATGCGTCAGCTTCAGGACATTGAACTTCATTTAATTTTAAACCATTTCAACCTGATCTTCGTATAATGTTCAAAGCACTTTTTTAAAAGTTTAGTGCAAATAAAAGACGGAAGTTTTATTTTTAGCTGAATATGATTCGTTTTATTTACTTTAAGGTAAATCGCACTTTGCGAGCTGTGTCGTCGAGAGTAGGCATTTCTCAGTCAACCGAGTTCTGGCGAAGGCATTTGGTGGCGAATGGCATTCGGACGAATGCCATTTCGTTCGCCCGTGTGGCACCGCGCGAATGGCAATAAATCTGAAGGCATTCGGGGGTAAATGCCATTTTCTCTGCCCGTGTGGCACGGGTATTATTGCTGCACTTTATATGGCTGGCAATTTTATATCACTTCTGATGTTTTTCTTATGTTAGTTTGTAGCTCGGTGCTTTTCATCAGTGAACTAGCATTGCTGCTTATCAAGTTTAGTATCCGAGTGTGAGGGTAACCTATGAGTAACAGAGTAGACAAGTGTATGTAATGTATTTTGATATCGTTTTATTATTTGGTGGCCAGTAGGTGTGGATATGGGGTGTTTATTTATTTATTCATTTATTTAAGAAGATACTGCTTGTCAGAATGCCATACTTTAGGCAGCGGTGAGCGATACATATAGGAAAATACAGTGATGACCATTGAAAAGATGGTATTTATTTATTTATTTTAGAACATGCAGCCAGTCCGAATGCTATTCTTTATGCGGGATCAGCAATACAATGGGAATAACACTATACAAGAGATACGAAAGCGTACAGAACAATATGAAATATAGAACAGATCAGAATGTAGGAACTAGAGTATTATTTGTTTAAAACGAACCGAACGATACACAAACCCAAATAAAATTTCATAATACCACACAATTATCACTGCACGAGCAGTACAGTAACAGCAACTACCACTTATTTACCATAACGCCTTGACATATACACATGCCGCCTTGCAGCAGCTGGACGAAGTTTTTCGTACATCCATTCATATATACATGCAGCACAAAAATACAATGACACTAAGTTGTACAACAACTGCGTAAGGTTATGCTTGCAGACAAAAGTTTCTGCACATGCCACCCACAATGCAAAGGACAGGGTAATGCAGGTACTTACTAGTATATTTGATTACACATGCAATGCACAAAATACACTTAGGATGTGCTTCCAAGTGAACAAAAGGACATGACATGAAGATGGCACTGAACAGTAAGGGTAGCTTAAATAACCATTAAAATGCAAAAACAAAGAATAGCCACACTTACAGTAGTGCAAGAAACATCATACATTTTACCCAAACTTTTCTACCAGTACTATCTAATGCTAGCTGCAGCAACATGCATTCCAATGCTTCGGCTACCACACTTCTGTGAGCTTTGAATTTTTGTCATAAGGAGATAGTTTTTCTTTTTCATGAATTGAGACTCTAGTTCTTAAAAACGTGGTAAGGAGTTTGTCCAATATGCAGTGGCATGTATGGATGCAATTGCCCGAGTTGAGGGAACTTTGAATGGTACTCTGAAGTTTAGATGCAGAAACTCTGTTTGCAATCAATGCATCTTCATTTAAGTGCACATAATTTTCAGCAGCCTCTATTAACTGCAAAACAGCTGGTGATGGGACTGTCAATGCCGGCTTCTCTTTGTTGTAGCACTTCAGCATTGTGAGCTTGTTGCCCTCGGCTGAGCTTGTGATCGCTTCAACACAAGCTTGACAGGAGTTTGCCTTCTTCACTTGTGCAACAATATAACCAGCAAGGTACTCCAAGGATTCATGTTCTAAGTCTTGAATATTGTCACGTAGCCAGGAACGACGCAGAGTTCTTGGGAAAAACTAGTTTTTTATTAGAGCGAACCTGTGCTCTGAAATGAATGCCAAAGAATGATAAATCCAGGTGGTGAAGGAACGGCCCACCGCGAAACGCTCTCCCTATCAAAAAATGAGATAGTCCGAGGGAGGAGGAAAACATGCACTTCGCTTGCGGCACAGTATGGGTGCGGCCCACAACAGATAGCACGATCGGGCGCAGCCAGATGTTCGCCACGAAACACAGACGAGAAGGCATAGTTCGCGGCATTGCCCCCCGCGAAAAAAAAAGAGCATCGGCCCGATGCTACTAATAAAAAAAAAGTAGTCAAGAAAAAGTCAGTCATCTGGCGTAGTAAGGCTTAAGCCTAACCACGTGGACAATTTCGGGCCGCGTGCGTCGTCGTGACATGCCATGGTCGCTGTCGGGGACAACCTCGTAGCTGAGTGGGCCTACACGTCGCTGAATTTTATAGGGCCCGAAATACCGACGCAGGAGCTTCTCACTGAGTCCGCGACGTCGAATAGGGGTCCAAACCCACACAAGATCACCTGGGTCATAATCGGCGTCGCGGCGTCGGAGGTTGTAGCGTCCGGCATCCACGAGGTGTTTGTCTGTTATGCGCACTCGAGCAAGCTGGCGGGCTTCTTCCGCGCGTTGTAGGTACCTTTGGACGTCGGTGTTGAGGTCATCATCTTCTACGTGTGGAAGCATGGCGTCGAGCATTGTCGTCGGCTGTCGCCCATAGACAAGCTCAAATGGGGGCAATTTAGTAGTTTCTTGGATAGCTGTGTTGTACGCGAACGTGACGAAAGGGAGTACGTCATCCCACGTCTTATGTTCAACGTCGACGTACATAGACAGCATATCCGCGATCGTCTTATTCAGGCGTTCGGTAAGCCCGTTGGTCTGGGGGTGATACGCCGTGGTCTTCCGGTGATCCGTGTGGCTGTAGTGCAAGACCCGTTGCATAAGCTCTGCAGTGAATGCCGTTCCGCGGTCCGTGATCAGTACTCCAGGGGCTCCATGTCGCAGCACCACTTGGTGGATGAAAAATTTGGCGACTTCTTCTGCAGTTCCCCTTGGGAGCGCGGCGGTCTCTGCGTAGCGCGTCAAGTAGTCCGTGGCTACTACAATCCACTTGTTCCCGGCCCGTGACGTGGGGAACGGTCCGAGAAGATCCATGCCAATCTGTTGGAAGGCCCTCGATGGTACTGCAACCGGCTGTAGGAAGCCGGCGGGTCTGGTCGGCGGCGTTTTTCGGCGCTGGCAGTCGCGGCAGCTCCTGACGTAGTGGGTGACGTTGGACGTGAGACGCGGCCAGTAGTATTTTGCCTTTATCTTTCCCAG